TATTAAAAATTTAGTTAAATACCCTTTTTGTCCCTCTATAGAAAAAAACCTTTTTTTTGTCTTGTACCGAAAAAATCCCTTTTTGGTCATTACTATTCACAAATATGGCTCTTTTTTTATTCTTTCGTTAATTTTTGCTCACGTGGCACGTTAACTTAACTGGAACAGCTGATGTAGATATGCCAATATGTAAAAAATGCTTACGTGCACTTAATAATACCTCCACGTCACCCTCTATGCGCGGGAAAAGAAAAAAAAAAGATTAAATGTTAAATTTGATCCCTCAACTTGATAGGTTTGCATTTTTTTGGTCCTCAAATTATTTTTTTCATTTTTTTGATCTTTTAACTCTAAAAAATTACACAATTTTGGTTCCTTCACCAATTAAGCATGATGTGACAGTTAAATAATTTCATTTGGTATTTTCTTTTAATTTTTTTTATGACATGGCAATTAATATATTATAATTATATTATATAAATAAATATAAATATTGCGTAAATAAATATTTATATTTTAATTAAAAATAAAATTACATTATTACCCTCCCCTCCTAATCCCTCTTCTTCCCTTTCTTTCTTTCTCTTTCTTTCTTTCGAACCCAGACGCAGACTTGGAAGGCTACTGCCAAAGTCTAGTAATTCTTCTGAAATTTGTTCACCAACATGACATCGTTCCCCTCTGGTGACTCTTGCACAATAGACCGAACACCATGGACGAGCTTCTGGACAGACAACTAGTGATGAAGGAGAAATACCTAAATGATGAAGAGGAAGAGTTGTAGAATAAGCAGCAACTCACTAGCAATTGGCACGAGGCGCTTAGTCTCTATTGAGACATTCTCTGTGCAACACGGTTCTTCATGTGGTCCGATGTTCGAGGTGTCCTCTAGAGAGACATCCTGAGAGAAAACACCATGAAGGAGTTAAGAACAAGAAGGAAGACCAAAATCAGTTCCTGGGTTGGTACAAACCCATATCTGGATTCCTCGATTCGTGAATAACTCAGATCTGGGTTCCTCAGGAACCCATTCACGAACTTAGGTTCTTTAGGAACCTATTCCTCGGTTCACAAAGAAACCATATCTGGATTCCTTAGGTACCCATTCCTTGGTTCGCGATGAACCCAGGTTGTCTGGGTTCATCACGAACCCAAATGACAGACTCATTGCTGGGTTCCTCGCGACCCCACTCATAGTTAAGGCAGGGGGAAGAGAGGGAGGGAAGAAGAGAGAGGAACAATGGATGGAATGATGGTCGGAAATGTCTAGGTTTGAAAGAAAGAAAAAGAAAGAAAGAAGGGGAAGAAGAGGGATTGGGATTTGGGAGTGAAGGGTAATAATGTAATTTTATTTTTTAATTAAAATATAAATATTTATTTACGCGATATTTTTATTTATTT